GAACTTACATATTTATATAGTCCCTCAATATTCCAGGATAAGATACGACACGATTGAGCTCGGCCATCATTTCATTCGCGATCTTTGTTTACATGTGGAGTGCTCTCCCTTGGATTAGTGTTACTTCGGGGTCCAGATGTAAACAAAGCCACGTGGTTTGAGGCTGATGAGCCATCTCTTACCCAACGATGAATTAAATCACCTTTGCAGTATATAACAAAACTATATTCTAACGAGTCTAACCCTGCATTTAACTGTGCTTTTAATCGTCTTTGTGAGGATCTTTACAGCAAGAAGTCACCTATTATTCCCCTCTAGGAATAAGGATCAAACCTTTCCTTTCTGCAGCTGGCATTAACCTCGAAAATATATGTCTTTTTTTTATCTTCCTTGGCAATTGGTTAGGCCACAAGTAGACCTGACACTGACAGCATTTAAAACATCTGAAATTATTGAATTACAATACATACAAGAATTTACTCAATTACAAAGTAAATATAATACATATAAATCCTTATTTACAGATGGATCGAAGAATGGTGGCGCGGTGGATAGTGCCACTGTCATTGGATCAAGAACAATATCTTCTTGATAACCGGATAACAGCTCTATTTTCACAGCAGAAGCTAATCTTTCTTGCAAACATCCACTTTTAATTGAAATTATTGAATTATATAATGATCCTGCTACTGGCCAATACGACATCGTCCTCTGTTGGTTACCCAGCCATGTTTGAATTTCTGGTAGCACATTGGCTGATGTCGCTGCCAAGGCAGCACTCAACAAATCTGTGACACCACTTCTTATTCCATACTCTAATTAATTCAGATATTTTATCCGTGAGGACACCCAAGTAGGTATCAATAAATTACATCAAATAAAGCCAAATATCGGTTACACCTACTTGAGCTGTCGGTCCAGATTTGTGGAGGACATTTTGCGACGATGTCGCATTGGCCATAGTAGATATATTCATGACTATTTGTCTAAAAGCGAAGATCCTCCATTTTGCATTCCTTGTGATGAAAGAATCACGATCAAGCATGTCCTGCTTGACTGTATTGATTTTTCCATCACAAGGGATACATATTTCAGTGTCAAAACGATTAAGGATCATCTTAATAATGTAAATTATCATTTAATGATTGTTTTTCTTTAAAAGAAATAGAATTATTTTATAAATTTTGAATAACTTGTTTTGTAAATAGATAAATGTCATCTTATCAATGGTAGTATAAATTAGCAACTGCGATTGTTAGTGGCTTTATCCTCAAAGGGGGGTTGAAGTATCGTAAGATTGTTGTCCTCCTGAGAGGGTACGTAAGTCCCAAAACTTTCAAAGTCAATTTAGCTCAACCATGCCTTTTAATCGTAGAATTTTTGTTATTAAATTATGGCTAAATTTCTCTACCATCGCCAGCGGCTGAAGGGATGGTGTAAATCCAGCTATGGTCCATGCAGGTAGCAAAGGCATTGTACCTTCAGTAGCTTTAGCCCATTTTATGTTGTAATGTCCTAAATTGTATATACTTTCAAGTCACACGCTAGTTTCAAACCTTTAACTGTGATATTCTAGTTCTTTTACTGTCCTTCACAGACAGATTTGAAGATATAACGTCATAAAGTATTTCAACATGACCCTTTTAGTCACGATATGGCTGAAATATTGCAAGTGACTATAAATTTTAACTCACTCAGTGGACCAGTCACCTCCCACTCGCAATGGCCTGAATATGATTCTTAAAGACAATATTGACATGAAATGTTGATTGTGTAATGAATTTGCAGGGACAGTCCAACACCTTGTCAGTGGATGCCCATCCTTGGCAAAAACAGCATATCGTAAACAACATAATGGCATGGCCCGTTGCTTCTACTACCGTCTTCGCCATGCATGTGGCTTTGACTGAGAGGTCCATCTATGGTACAGAGGTTTGACCCTGAACATGTCCAGGGTGTCATGGAAAATGATGCTTTTAAACTTCTTTGGAATAGGCCCAAATGCAGCCTCTGAAGAATTCCAGCCAACAAACCTGATCTTGTCCTTTTTGTAAAGCCAATGAATATATTTATATCATTGACTTTTATGTCCCTTTTGACAGCAATGTGATTGGCAAGATTCACGAAAAGTATGATAAATATGCGGGCCTTGTCAGGCTTCCCATTGTTCTCGGTGCCATTGGTTTGGTACCTCCTGATCTCTTGGCACAGATCAGGAGAATGCCCGGGTTCTCCGGTGGGAGCACAGCCCTTTTGACACTCCGGGTAATGCAGAAGACTGCAGTGTTGGGCAGTCTACATATTCTCTAAAACTTTCTTGGTGGGTTCGACTAGGCAGCGTTTCCTATTCGCCGTCTTTGTTGCGTGTAGAGGGGGCAAGTGCCCTGAGCCGATGATGAGTCTTACCACCCTGACTGTGCCCGAACCTTCTCTGCTACATACTATTTTTAATCTGTAAATCATAAAAATAATCAATTTGTATAGCGCCTTTTTTCCAAGTTCGAGATGAGCTGTTGTACAAGGTGAGCGCATTTTGGGAGAAGGCACGGCCAGCAAGTTTAGTGGATGTTGAGGGAACCGAGACACTGTACATATTCTGAGATCGGAGATGTCATCCTGGTATATACATCTGAATAAGATCCTTTAGGTAGAGAGCGGAGTTATCTTTGTGAAGAGCAGCATATGTCACTGATAAAACCTCGTACACCATCGTTTGCTGAACTTGGAGACAATGAAATTGTTTTAAAACAGATGTTATATGCTCACGTGGTTTAGTCCTTGTGATAATGCGAGCTGCTTTGTTATTGATCTTCTGCAGATGGGTGATAGAACTAGATCGAGCCCACATCGCATTGCAATAATCCAACCCTAAGGTCAGGTAGGCAGGGACGAGGAGTCTGCTCGTCTCAAGGTTAAGATACTTTCTTATTTTCCCAGATTATTCCCAGGTTTATTTCACTTGCTTCGCTGTGGAAACACTGTGCCCTCCTGCATCAATAATAGAATTGCCAAGTTTGAAAAGCTGTTTTTTGGTGCCATTTAACGATGAATTCTGTTTTGTTATTATTAAACTTTAGTTTGTTAGGTGTCATCCACTTTTGAACGCCTTGACTTGTGTCAAATATCCCATTATATTGTGTTCATTATGGGAGATGTCTTTCTCTTCAACAATAACCTAGAACTGATACTGATAAGTTATGTCATAACTGGACAACCGTCCAGACACGCTAGTTTTTCGTGCTTTGAGCACAATCTTTAGTCAAGGCAACTTCCAGCTTCTGTAATTCGTGATATGAGTGAGTTTAGTTTTACGCCGCACTCAACACTATTCCAGCTTTAAGGCGACGGTCAGTAAATAATCGAGCCTGGACCAGACAATCCAGTGATTAACGGCATGAACCTCGATCTACGCAATTGGGATACGATGACATGTGTCGACAAAGTCAGCGAGCCTGACCACCCGATCCCGGTGGTCGCCTCTTACGACAAGCATGGGTTACTGAAGACCAATTCTAACCCGGATCTTCACGGGTACTTCGTGATATAAGAATTACAAAGAAAATAAATAGGTTTAATGTTGATTTAAGTTTTGGCTCGGCCGACAGGCCTATATTCCAGTAACAGAGTGGCGGCTACTGTTGGACAGTAACTACCGCAGCTCTCCAAGCGGGCAAGGGGGTGCAACTCCAGGAATGTTCCCCTTTCAGCAGGTCGATGCTCATGATGGCAATCAATTGATCGTCTGGTCCAGATCCGATTATTAACAAACCGTCTTCATACAGAAGTGATAAGAAGCAAGCTCACACACTTGAAAGAAAATTTGTGAAATGGGAGAGTTAATCAGTTTTATTCACATTAGTATCCTTAGAGTTTACAACGACAATGTTACTAACAATACACAATGTTGCTACAGTAATCCAGGTTTACAATATCTGGTAACAACAGCTTCATTTAAACGTTTGTGATACGTGGAAAATTGAGGCAGGCGTGTCTTGAGACAAATACAGACAAATCTCACCTCGTAATAGAGCAGCATCTCACGTGGTGTCATTTTTACATTTGTGTCTCATCTTATAACAATAATAGAAATAGTCAAAGTAGCCCGTTGCATAACTGTGACCCCTTACATAAGATCATTGATTACAAGTGCTGGTGCTGACGTACATAGACTCATGGTAATCCTTGGATTCGAACCCACATACGTTTCTGGCTCTGTAAGCTAGCTGGGGTACGTTTGACCCTGGATCCGCCCATGGCACTCTGGATTTCAACAGGGTCCATGCAGGTAGCAAAAGCACTGTAAGTCCCCATTGTCCCTAGTATGGTGATCTACCTTCAGTTGTTTGCTACCTATAGCTCGTTTTTATATCGTATTGTCTTCGTAAATAAAATAGTTTTACATGTTCATGCTAGTTTTAGACTCCATCTGTGATACTCTAGTTATCTTACAGTCCTTCGATGACTGTTTATTTAGCAACTTACATTTATTGTTTATGTAAAGCATTTCTCGTCACTATATGGCTGAAATATTGCCGAGGTGACGTTAAATTTTAACTCACTCTCTCACTCACTCACTCACTGGATTTCAACAAGGGGACAAATTGCACATACATCAAACTGTAGAGCCTTTCATAAACAAACGACTACTTCACCATGGTATAACTTAAAAGATCAAAACTAGCTGTTTCTGTTGATTAGACTTAAATACATGATGACCAAGAACTAGTAAATACACTCAACATGGCATAAATAATGCCAAAACAATTTACGACATTTATCTCTTCATAAAACATAGTGAACTGGGCGGAGTTTAAAGGTAAATACGTAACACTCAGACATGAAATATAATGGACAAAAATAGTTAAGGATATATGTAAATTTTGAAATTATGAATAATAACCTATTTATTTATTGACACACTGACAAAATATCAATCATAAACATACCAATATCCCTAACTTACTTTGTCTTGGAACATGTCTGATTACTATGTGAACACGCTACACATCCCTTTTCTTCAAGAGCCCACGTAGGAATGTGATGAAAGAGCTCCGCTGTGGTCCTGGTGCTGGGCCTGCTACAGATGGACTCCGTCTCTTTAGAACCGGAGTGAGTGAAACATTGCGAGTCAACTGTCTGACAATTTGTTTGAACGCTTCACAAACCTGATCGTAGTTGAAGGACGATGCCTCGACGTAGCCATGTCTCCATTTCCTTCTGATCAAATACTCGGCTGCGTTGCACGGCACAGCCTTCTCGTCGTCAGGGAGGTCCTGCTTATTGGCAACAACTACGATAGGAACGTCTTTATCCATCTTCAACTCAATGATTTCGTGACGAAGCCGTTGCATCATTTCAAAAGATTCCTGATCGTCCACCGAATACACCAACATAAACGCATCACTTTTACATATTGAAAATTCCAGCATGGGAAACGCTCTATGAATGCCTGCGGTATCAACTATGTCTAAGCTGAGTAATGCATTGTGGGTTTTGAAGACGGCTCTTTCAATGTTGTAGGTGGACTCGTCTTCCTTCAACTCTCGCTGTCGGAACTGAGATATGATGGCAGTTTTTCCAACGCCAGTTTTACCAAGCACTACCATCCTATAGGCCAAGACGGACCTGGTAGAGTGGCGCCTGGTGGTGAGACGTCGGAGTGCAGATCTCAGAGAAGCCATGCTGTGTCGTCGTTAGTCAGGCCCCAAATGATGAGTTTAAACGGTGAATCGAACTGTTGAAACTTTCATCAGGCTACTGAAGAATGTCTTCAGTGTCGCATCAGAAATAGTCTCCTCGCTGGACCGCCAGGTGTTGTGTGCACGTACAACACACCACACCAGCTTTCGATTGGCTGAGACGCTTCTGCAGACGTTCTGTCGAACGATTTGTCATCATCTACTTTTATGGTTTTCTAAATGGCGTCAGAGAAAACAGCTGTTTTGGTCCTCAAGTCATTTTATTTGGTGAGATTCCCTACGTCTTGTTTTGTTTCTCTCCATATTATCACATTTTGAGTTGAGTCAGCAGTTGTGAAGACAGATCAGATTGGTCTTGTCGATCTTATTAGATACAAGTCTGATTTCTGAGAACAGTCCTTCAAAATATGTTTTATCCGTTTCTGTCCCGGTTGCGGACTTCCTTGCTCAGTAGTTTGTGTGTAAGGACCAAGATTCGGTTTTATACCGGAGCGTAATAGCAAAGTATGCACCACACATAACAGTCGATGACCAATAGTCGTGAGGTCTTTCGTACAGCTGAATAACCCTACATCCTGTGAAGGTCTGGGTTATAATTGGACTCCAGCAACCCATGCTTGTCGTAAGAGTCTACTAACGGGATCGGATGGTCAGACTCGCTGATTTTGTCCTCGCTTGACATTGTATTCCATCTTCCAGTTTCGCGAAATAAGTTCGTTTAGAGTGATGTCCTTTTACAAAACCAAGTGACCGCGGGCAAACTGTCAAAACTTTTAACGTGTTTGACCGTATTACTATCTAACGTTTTTACCGAAAGAAACTGAAGATGCTTTACCACCACTGTTGTTATGGCTTGTGTAAGTCTGATAACAGGTACAAGGAATGCCATGAGATGGGAAACGTATGTTTTTATTCCTTTTTCCGAAGCTGAAGAGTCAACCGGGGAAATGTTTGAGATGGACGAGGGCCTGTGGTCGAGGGGGATTTGATGTCAAAAGCATCACGAGGCATACCTATATTTGTTCCAAACACTTCGTAGGTGATTGAATATGCAACAATGTATGGTAGCAACATAATGGAACTGTGCACACTGAAAATTCCTTCAGAATTGGAATACAACACAGAAAAGACCAAATGATGTAGACACTTTATAAGCTGAAGTATCGGGCCTCAACAACATGTCAAAAGAACATGAACAATATCCGTAACGATGACGTTAGAAGTTCAAAATTGAGTCGGAGGTCACACGTCGAAGTCACTAAGTCAATAACGGGTATGACCATCATGCGCGTGAAGCACAGCGGTGCATAGAGGCTACCAAATTTTCCAAATGAAGGCCTAGGGAATGGTTTGGACGTGGTCACTGCCGTCTGGAACCTGTGTCTGAGATGAGTCACCCGAATCCATCTGTTCTGTCTTGGCGTCGTTACTCGGGGACGCCTACAACGTTGGTGGCCGGCGACGTCATTACTGTTTCCATAACGCCTGACCAATGCAGATATCGTGTTACGATGGCATTGGAAATGTGCTGCCACTTGTTCTTGGCTCATGCCTGCTCGAACCATTCCAATGGCTTCATGACATTGAGCAGATGTTAATCTTTGCATGATGTGCATGTGACTTCTCATGTGAATTTGTGAACGTTTGAATGACCAAAGATCAAGCTTTCGACAGTGACAGCAATTTCTGAGTTTCATATGCTGTGTGCAGCTGCACAGGCTGCACGTGCAGTAACACATTGCAAGTCCATACGCCACCATCAATGACGTCACGTCGTCTGGCACCTGCATGAGCGTTTAAATGTCTCCAATACTTGTTATGTTCACACCTATATTTATGTATAAAGGCGCTGTTTGCCTATCTTTATATTTTCTGTGTGCACAGTTTCTTTATGTGGCCAGTATATGTTTCCCTGGGGTGATATTTGAAAATTGTAAATATCGTTAATGTCATATGACTAATTTCTCAGACAATGATGAAAAAACACCTGAGTCACACATTTATAAGTGTTAATACATAGTGTAACGTCCAATTATAATAATATATCTTTCTACAATACATACGAATCAAAATGTGTCGATAAGGTATATTTCCTTAATAAAAGATAATTAGGATTACTAAAAAGATCCTTCGGTGTTTTGACAATGAAACACTTCTTCCTTGTGTATTAACAATGGATGACATCACCAGAAACAACAAAAGCAGCAAGTTTTACACTGGTACATTTAATACATTGTATATTGTATAACGTATATACATACAAGATACCAGCATATCTAAAAGAATCAAAGTATTACATTGATGAATCCTTTGGGATGGTGCATTGTAACCAAAAGCATCAGATTCATATTTGATTTATGGTGGTGGTTATCATTCAATATCACATAGTCAATGATGACTGAAGATCAGTTTTACACTTTTACAACAGGGGTCAGTATTGTCATGTTCATGCTGGTGTTCAACCAGCTGAAGGACAAGGGTGCCAAAATACCTACTGGAGAGGTCAAAGGGAGACAAAGCAAGATGGGGTGTGTTTTGTCATTAGTGTTCATGTCAGTTAGTACATATCAAATGACATAACATGTTATGTGAAACACTCCATTGCTGGGTAATCCTTCAGAAATATTCCGTTTGTTATTATCAGAACAGTGATACATATTATTGAAAATATGAAAGTTCCCAATTAATACAACTCTGAATTGTAGCAGGTAACCTATGCATTATTTCCTACACAGTTTCTGACAATATCAGTTGAGAATGTAAACGATGCAGCACTGTAAATGTTATAAATTAGTTGTATATAATGTCATGCGTGTGTATTGCAGCAAATACAATGACATCTGTCAACCAAATCAGCGAGCCTTACCACCCGACCCCTAATAAATCTACCAATCCTTGACCTTCAAATGTCAATCGATATTCCCATTTTAAGTTTATGTGTAGTTTCGGAGGTATGAATTTTTAATGTAGTAGAAAAGTCAGTAAATATTTCAACAAATATATTGCTCCCTGCCCCTCTGGATCCGCCTATCCTATTAATTTACGAAAGGACTGAAAGAGGTCAAGTTCATGGGTATTTTGCCAAAGTGTGACCGTTTGGTCGCATAGAGAAAATTTGAAAAAGATCAATTCCCGAGGGCTCTCAGATAGTATATATTGGAATAAACCAAAATTATGGACGGCTTAACCCGTGGTGTTAACAGGTGAAACATGCATTTGGACAAGGTCTGATGTTCGGGTGATAAACGTCCAGTTTTTTTTGTATATTATTTGAGATTTCTCAGTTTGACAAAAGCGATATTTTTACAGCAGTGAAATTATCACTTTGCCCAAAACAACTTCAATGCACAAAAAAAGCATTCGCTCGTCACGCCGATCGTTGACCGGCAGCGAAGGGAGACGAAGCAATTATCGCAATATAGCAAGACAGCACAAAGCGAAGTAGCGCTATAAAGCGCTATAGCGCGACAGTTGCTCCGCAACGAGCCGTGCGGGGTGCGGCTGCTAAAGTGCACTCTTGCCAAGAAATACACCCATCACTATACTGAATCCGAATCCGGCTCGTTTCAATGTGTTAGACTTGTTCAGAAGTGCCACTACCGGGCCAGTATCCATAAGCTCGCGGGTTCGCACAGTGATTACTAAGGGGTATAACCATGATGTATGCTCAGTGCTCAGCACTCGCGGTACTGCTACTGAACACGGCTCTCGAACCAATTCTTGGAAACTGTGTCTGGATCTCAGACTGAAAGTCGGCCTGAGACACCATCACAAACATCTGGCAAACAGCCCGACACTGTCGAAAAAAGAAAAAGACTGTCGTCGAAAAAGAAAGGTAAAAAATAAATAGGAAACAGACACCTTCAGAGGTTTCTCTAGAGAACCCATTTCTACCTCTAAACATGGCCCTCGCAGGTCAGAAGGAGGAATAGTTCCTCCTCACATTCACGAGAAACGTTACTGAACATGGCTCTCGAACCAATTCTTGGAAACTAAATCTGACTCTCAGACTGAAAGTCGGCCGGAGACACCATCACAAACATCTAGCAAACAGCCCGACACTGTTCATTCGTCGAAAAAGAAAGGTAAAAACTAAATAGGAAACAGACACCTTCAGAGGTTCCTCTAGAGAACCCCTTTCTACCTCTAGACATAACCCTCGCGGGACAGAAGGAGAAATAGTTCCTCCTCACATTCACGAGCAACGTTACTGAACACGGCTCTCGAACCAATTCTTGGAAACTAAGTCTGGATCTCAGACCGAAAGTCGGCCTGAGACACCATCTCAAACATCTAGCAAACAGCCCGACACTGTTCATTCGTCAAAACGAAAGGAGGAACACAAACAGGAAACAGACACCTTCAGAGGTTCCTCTAGAGAACCCGTTTCTACCTCCAGACATAGCCCTCGCAGGACAGAAAGGGGAATAGTTCCTCCTCACATTCACGAGACCCATCTCCAATTGAGCCACTATGACTCAATTGTCCCATATAATGCAGTGGAATTGCAGAAGACTTAAACATAACTCCCAAGGAAATAAATTATTGAGACTGGATTTTCAGTGCAGTGATTATCATTCCCTTTCTCCTCCAGATGATAATGCAAATAGAGGAACTCCCATTTTAGTGCGACAGGCTATTATGCACAACCCAGTCTCTCTTATAGTCTGTTTGCAGTGAATTTCACTTTAAACAAAAAAGTAAATCAAATTGAGTGAAATTAAGATTGCGAATCCTCACAATTTTACCTTGCCAAATAAACATTTAAAGCTCAGAATTTTAATCAACTTTGATCATAGATTCAAATCGCTATTATTGATTTGCATTACAAGGGGATAAGCCCAGTAGATTGAACAGTGAAACAAATGCACGTACGGTACGTGATGAGCGTTAACTTAAACCAACACTACTTGTTCTCGGTGTTTCATTTAAAGTGCATACCCCCTTGTAATACAAACCAATGATAGCGATTTGAAACTATG